AAGTTCCATTATTTTAAGATGTGAGATTTTTAACTGATAGGACTATTTATCATCTTTAATTACAATGCAGTTTATAAAAATTGAGGTTAGAAATCTCTTGTTAATGTTTCAAATGTTTGTGTAGATTTGCATTTTAATGGGTACAGTGTAAGTATTTTATTTTCTCAGTTAAATGTTAATTCAGGTTGAAAGGTAGTTGAGTTCACTAATGTTAACTGACTCCTTTAGTGTGTATACTTGCTCATCTGTTATGACTGCACTTGTAGAACAAATTGTACTGTATGGATAAATTTTCACAAGTTTCATCCCTCCTTAGGTATGAAATAATCTGAATAAAATATGTATAGACACACTCCCTGAAGAAGGGCAGTAAACTGTGGAAAAAAATTAGTGAGTCTCTTTGAGCAGAATAATCCTTTTGTTACATACTTTATCAAAACTCAATTTTTCATGTTTGAGACAGAGTGGTTCCTGTACTCCCTTATGTTGTGTGTGAGAGCTAGCTGTTCAGAAACTTTTTGGTTTTTACTATTTAAATTAGAAAAACAAATAACCTGTAATATTTATTAAAGCTTAGTTTCCCTTCTATTTTAGATTTTTTAATTAATGAAATTAATTTTTATGATAGTATAAATGTGCCATAGTAAAAATGTTTACTTTATTTTCCTTTCCCCGTGTAAAAGAAAAGTGGAAAATGGAGAAGATGTTTAAGATTGTTTTAGTTTTCATTTTCACTTCAATTAACATTTATTTAAAGGAGACTTCAATTCTAGAATATAGCAGGACATGAAGATATTCTTTACAGTAATGTCCATATTCCAAAAAACAGGACATAATCTAAGTGTATTATATATTGAAATGACATATACATTAAATTATATCAATACCATGAACTAAGATGGTACTAAATTTAAAAAAAAATGATGTATTTATGGTAAGGTGGAAATATTTTATATGAATTCAAGTGAAAAAATTATAATGAGAATGAATATTGGTTGAGAGTTGGTTAAATGTTAATCGTATCTCATTTATTCTTTGTTACTGTTAGAGAAGATCATCAAAATATGAAAGTTTATGCCAGGATTAAGACTGTCCAATGAATATATACACGTACACGTGTAAAGAACAATCGTGATAGGACAAGTTACAATTCACATACATTTGTGGAATTGTGAGTGTGTTGTTTAGGAATTGCAGACAGCTGCTCATAAAGAGAAACCCACATAGTGTGGCTTGAGCAAACAGGGCCTTCATTGTTTTTTTTTTCCCATGTAAAAAGGGCCACAGAAGGTGTTCTTAGGTGATATTGTGCTATTGCCGTCAGGGTCTTCAACTCTTTTTTTTCCCCCCTCTTCCTCGTTGCTCCACATGAAATCAGTCCTCTTTGTTTCAGGATCTGAAGATGGTCACTTCCCCATTAGGACCTCTACATTCTACACAAGAGGAAGGGGAGGCACAGAGCAGAAGGCTCTTGCCGGCCAATCCTCTCTCTAGTGAGCTTTTCCTGGAAACCTCGTCCAGAGACTTCCATTTTTCACATGCTTACCAGGGAATGGTACACTGTTCCCTTAGCTGAAGGAATTCAGAAATTGTATTCTTTTCCCAAGGTGGGCATGGTGTTACCTGAAATAAAGGAGAAGTTATGTTGGTAAGGAAAAAGGGAGAAAAAGATACTAGATAAGTAACTTGCAAATGTCTTTCAAGGTGTTTCCCCATCCTAATATTATGATCCTTTAATTCATGAAAATTAGACTGGCTAAGGTAAGAAATAACCAGGAGTATCTGAGGCATAATGATCCCACAACTGATGTTTGAATGATCTGTATCATTCAGCTTCTTTCCACGTGGGCTTATGGCTATTATTTCCTAAAAAGTCTGTGTAGCAGCAGGTAGATAGTGTGTTGCCATTTTTTAATAGGACTTGAAAGTTCAGAGAAAATTGGAGCATTGACAGTATGTGCTGAAACCAAGATTTGGATACTTGTCCAAAGCTTATGAGATTATGTGGTATTCCTGAACATTTTCTGAGCCTCAGTTCCTCATGTGTAAAACAACATAATCCATCCAGCTGTGCTTCCTTCAGGGTTTTTTTTATGAAAATAAAATAGAAGAGGTAGTGCCTATATTTTTTTGTGTAGGCTAACACTATTTATGGCATCTGGCATTATTTTATAGTGTAAAGTCACACATCCATTTCATGAAACAGGTTAGACTTGACTTAGGACTCCCAACTCTTCTTCAGATAATATTTATAGCCTATTAGATCGCATTTCTGTTATAACCAATTACTCTGTAATTCAGCATTTTTTGTTACCCAGTTCAGCGGTTCAGTATTGACCTTACTTGACAGATGAAAATATGAGAGTGGTAGCTGGGAGTATGTGCGTATCAAATAGATAAATTTAACTATGTGATTTTTAATTACGAAATTTCTCTGTAAACTACACAATATTCATGGAATACAAAAATGGGAATTATTTAAGGTTAAAATGATTTACAAAGGGATGTGATTATGAAAGAGGTATATTTACCTGTTTATGTCCATTTATATTGATTGGACTATCCACTTGGCTTTTCATCATAAAGGTATATAGGGTAATAATGTCTGTCTCATTCTTCTATCCTTCCCATCCCCACCATCCCACCCCTCTCCTCAATTAAAAGTTCTTCCAACTGAGCTATATCCCCAGCCCTCAAAGTTCTTTCATTCTTCCCTACCTCCCCACAAACCTCCCATGGATCAACATCTGTTTATAAGAGAAAACATTCAGCCTTTGGTTTTTTGGGATTGGCTTTTTTCACTTAGCATGATATTCTCTAGTTCCATCCATTTACCTGCAAATAACATAATTTCATTCTTCTTTAAAACTGAGTAATATTCCATGTGTATATGTACCACATTTTCTTTATCCATTCATCTGTTGAAGGGCATCTAGGTTGGTTCCATAGTTCAGCTATTGTGAATGGAGCTGCTCTAAACTCTGATGTGGCTGTGTCACTGTAGTATGCTGATTTTAAGTCCTTTGGGTATAAATCGAGGAGTGAGGTAGCTGGGTCAAATGGTGGTTCTTTTCCAAGTTTTCTGAGGAATCACCATACCACTTTTCATAATGGCTGCACCAATTTGCAGTCCTACCAGCAATGTATGAGAATACCTTTCCCCCTACATTCTTGCCAACACTTATTATTGCTTGTATTCTTAATAATTGCCATTCTGACTGGAATGAGATGAAATCTTAGTATGCTTTTTAGTTGTAGATGGACACATACTTTTATTTTATCCATTCATTTTTATGTGGTGCTGAGGATCAAACCCCAGTGCCTCACACATGTGAGATAAGCACTCCACCACTGAGCCACAACCACAGTCCCTCTTAGAGTAGTTTTGATTTGCATTTCTCTAGTTGTTAGAGATGATGAACATTTTTTCATATATTTGTTGATCGATTGTATTTCTTTTGTGAAGTGTCTATTCAGTTCCTTAGCCCATTTATTGATTGGGTTTTTTTTTTTTTTAAATTTTAGATGGACACAATATCTTTATTTGACATTTATGTGGTGCTGAGGTCCGAATCCAGTGCCTTGTGTGTGCTAGGCGAGCACTCTACCACTAAGCCACAACCCCTGCCCTGATTGGGTTATTTTTTAAATATTTATTTTTTAGTTGTAGTTGGTTGGAAACAATACCCTTAGTTTATTTATTTATTTTTATGTGGTGCTGAGGATCGAACCCAGGTCCTCATATGTGCTAGGTGAGCACTCTGCCGCTGACCCATACCCCAGCCCCAGGTTATTTATTTTTTTGATGGTAAGTTTTTTGAGTTCTTTATATATTCTGGAGATTAGTGCTCTATCTTAAATATGTGTTTTGAAGTATGAAATGCATACTGAAAAAATGTATAAATAATAAATATTTTAGTTAAGTGAACATATCTGTATCACCAGCTTCCAGATTAAGAAATAGGACTTTACCAGCACCCTAGTAGCCCTCTATATGCCGCTTTTCCATTAATAACCCATAGCCCTTGCAAAGTAATACTAAGTTTTAAGAAACATTTTACCTATTGATAAACAAATGTGAGATTGTACAAATTGAACAGTTTTTTTTTAAAGAAAAATCACATGTAGAGTGTCACCAATAATCATTCTATGGTTTTCTTATATGTGAGGATTTGTTGTGTTGAATGTTAAAACAATATATGTTTCTTTTGTATATTTATTGATGGAAATATTCTGAAAGCATAAAAATGACTGAGCATTGTGGTACATGCCTGTAATCCTGCCTACATGGGGGGGCTGAGGCAGGAGGATTACAAGTTTGAGGTCAGCCTGGGCAACTTAGCAAGACCCTATCTCAAAAAAACTGGAGGTGGTGGTAGAGAACTTCCCTACCATGTGTGAGGGCTTGTATTCAATCCCCCGTAGCACACACAAACATACAGCTTAAAATTAAGAACCATTTAGCAGTAATTATGGTTTGGATGTGAGGTATCCCCCAAAAGTTCATGTGTAAGACAATGCAAGGAGGTTCAGAGGAGATATGTTTGGGTTGTGAGAGTCTTAACCCAATCAGTGAATTAATCCCTGATAGGGATTAACTGAATGGTAACTGAAGGTGGATAGTATATGGCTGGAGGAGGTAGACATTGGGAGCGTGGCTTTGGGGTATATATTTTGTATCTCGTGAGTGGAGTCTGTCTCTGCCTTCTGATCATCATGTGAGCTGCTTCCCTCTGCCACACTTCTCTGGCATGATGTTCTCCCTCACCTAGAGCCCTAAGGAATGGAGCCAGCCTCCTATGGACAGAGACCTCTGAAATTGAGCCCGCAGATGAGCTTTTCCTGCTCTACAATTGATTTGGTCTGGTGTTTTAGTCACAGCAGTGAAAAAGCAGACTAAAACAGTATAGATTGTGCAATTTCAAAACTTTCCACAAACCTTTCAGAATAAGAGTACGTCTTAAAAGTTGTGTTTTTTTTTTTTCCTTTCTCCCCCTCAGTGAGTTACCTGAGAGAGAAGAAGGTGAAGGAGAAGAAACACCAAACTTCAGCCACTGGGGTCCACCAAGAATGTACGTGGGTGATATAATTGGCGTTCTGTATAGAAGCACATTCTCTGCATGCTCCTCTGTCTTAATAGAGCATTATTTAGTCACACTCTAATGATTGCACAATTGTGGTAATTTACATGTAAGATGGCCTAAATTTTAGTTTCATTTTGTTTTATCTAGTAATTTTAGCCAGAATAAAAGACCAATATTAGGAAAATCTTTGATATTTTTTCAGAGGAAATAGTTTAATATCCATTTATGGTAGAAACTAATGGACTAAATGTACTTTATTCTGCCTCTTTCAGTGGGTTGGGTGGCACTGTTTCAGATATGGTGACACTGCCCTCATGTAAACAGCAGCGACCATGGCTGTAGGTTTCTCTTCCTTCCTCCCCTGGTGGGGAGTTCAATTCTGTGCCTTGTTTGAACTAACAATGTGTAAACTGATCTTCCCTTGATTATGGTTATTGTTTTAAGTACTCACCAGGGCCACGTTTTAAGAAGGTAAAAGTCTTCCTTTAGCTGCTTTCTCCATTCTTTATGCATTATTAATTCTTCCAGCACCACCCAGCCCGTCTGTTCTTTTCTTGCAATTGAATTCTGAGTTTTGTCTTAAAAACTCTTAGGAACTGTTTTTTGAGTTCCGTTTTTATATGAGTTAATTACTGGTCATATCTCTATGGTTTAAGCAAAATCCATAATATTTACAAAGGCAAATTTTATTCCATATGTTCTTTTTAAAATGACATGGTGGTGGAAAGAAAAGAAAACTTTCTGGCCTTAGGAGCAGATAACATCTGTGTTATGTTTGAAGAACCACAAGGTTAACCTTCTGATTTGGAGTAGCACTTTGTGCTGTGAACCTCTCAGTGATAAGTTTATTTTATTCTAGAAGTCTGAGCTTTTTACTAAAATGGCATATGCGACTTTCTTGATGTTTTAACCCATCTCATTTTCTCAGTCCATTCTCTGCTAATGTAATGGATATAAAGGAGATGGACTAATCACAGAAAACGTATTGTAATAGGAGATGGAAGTTTTGAGGCCTAGCTAAACCTCCTCTAAACCTCAAGAGCTGTTTTTATGTTTTAGAGATCTATCTATTTTAGAACATAAACTTTCACTTGTCATAAATTGATAGCATCGTGTAATTTTGGAACTAGGTACAATTCCTATAACATTTGTAAAAATATATTTGGAAAATTTATTTTTATAAAACAAGTCACAAGAATATGGAATACATTGAATGTTTACAGTGCAAAAAATTAACTTGTTCATGAGTGGATTTTATTTTTCTCTTTTTTTGTAGTGTTGAGATTTTTAGAGAACCCAATGTGTCTCTTGGTATCAGTATTGTTGGTGGACAAACGGTTATAAAACGCCTGAAGAATGGAGAGGAAATTAAAGGTATATTCATCAAACAAGTGCTAGAAGATAGTCCAGCAGGAAAAACAAATGCACTTAAAACTGGAGATAAAATCCTTGAGGTAAATGATGCTAAAATATTGTTTTTGTTTGAAACATATTTGAGACAGTAAAAGAATCTTAGCTAGAAGACCTTTCCTCACGTGTCGGTGCATGTATATATAATTGGTCTGTTCTATTTATATGCCTTAGTTCAGATGTTGTATTACAATTTGTGAGTTTCTCAAGTGTAGAGAAGAACAAATAATATGATAAAACAAAAACCCTCAGCTGATTGAAAATGACAGTTTAAAAAGGGGCTCTATATAGAATTGGGCAGATGGTGAGCATTATGCTTCTCCCAAGTCTTTAATGAGCTCTAAAGTTTATAATTGTGTTTCAGTGGAATATGTGTGCTTGCCTGGAGAAAGGAGTCCACCCTTCAAAGTTGAAGCCTCCATCAAGGGAAGGGGGGATCCATGGTCTACGTGTGGTGGGCTTTGGAGGGGCCAAATTTTAAAGGCACATCAAAGCAAAAAGATGTCATAGGATTGGAATGTGATTTTCCTTGTGCTAGATTTATTAGATGATATTATAGTTGGTATCTCTCATCCAAGAATCTGCTTGTCCTTGATTTATGGTTTCTGGTAGAATGCAAAGGGCCCTGGGGGTCATGGGTCAAAATCCAATAAATTATTAGTCCCACCTTATTCTTAGTTTCCAAATAAATTGGAATTGAGAATTCAAACCTACTGACATCATCATGAAGATTAAATCAAAGAACTACATCAACTTGCTCTGTGTGGACAAATCGGGGGTTATGGAGATTGAGTGTTACTTATCTGAAATGCTTGAGACCAGAAGTATTTTGGAGTTTGGATTTTTTCAGGTTTTGGAGTAGTTGCATATACATGCTGCACTATCTTGGGGATGGGACTCTAACCTAAACACAAAAATCATTTGTTTCATTTATACCTTACACACAAAACCTGAAGGTAATTTTATGTAATATTTTTAGTGCACTTGTAATTGTAACCTGCTGCATGAGCTTAGTTAGGTATGGAGTTTTCTAATTGCGGTAACCCATCAGTGCTTTATAGAGTTTCAGATTTTGAATTTTTTGAACGAGGAGTGTTTGAGTTGTATTTGTGCTTGTGAAATACATTTCTTAAACACAATAATAATGTGGTAGTGAAGAAAATGACCAAAACTTGCACCCCTTACAGCGTTAACATTGATAGTGTTAACTATGTTTGCTTAATATAGTGTTCTTGGAGGTACGTAGACTGTGTTAACAAGTTAGGTTTCCCCACTTTCTATAATAAGGAACCCTTTAGAGTTACCCAAATTTATTGAACACGGGCTCTTTTACTAAAAGTGTTCTATGTTGTTAGGGTACTTCTATTTTAACACAATTTGAAAAATATTCAACTACTCAATTGTGATAATCGGCAGTTGGTTTAAAATATTCCTGTCAGTTTAATGGTGAGATAGCAAAAGTCCAGAAAGAGATTCCCCACAATCGCCACACCCCCAGAATTGTGTACTGTGCTAATGACAAGAGTGAGAACTTAAAGTTCTAACATACACAATAACTTATTTCACAATTGCCATACAAAGGGAATTAATTATGTACCATGCTCTACCAATTTTGGATCATTATATTTAACCAGGGCCGTTGTTAATAATGTATTTGTCATATTAATTTTCCTGAAGTTGAAGTGTTATTTTTCTAAAAAAGGCAAAGCATTTTGTGGGCCAATCTTATTTTTTTTCCTGGCTGTGGTGTAATCAATAGACTCTGGCTGTTCTCAACTTACACGAACTTTGAATTAATTTACCAACGATGTCTAATGCCTTTTCGGTCAGACTAACTCACTGTGTTTCAGGTGTCTGGAGTAGATTTGCAGAACGCCTCGCACAATGAAGCAGTTGAGGCCATTAAGAACTCTGGGAACCCTGTGGTGTTCGTGGTTCAGAGCTTGTCACCTACTCCGAGAGTAAGTTTTAGTTTCTGTTTCCAAAAGGTTAATAATATTCTTTCTTTCTCTAATCAAGCTTTACCTTCAAATATTTTATAAGTGTTTTCTTTGTTACTTAGCTACATTATTTTTGAGAAAAAGGTATTTGCTTTATACAAATTTAGTCATTAATTTCAATTTTCATTTTTCATCCCAATTTTGATCTCTTGGTCAAATTTGAGTTTTTACAGTGTGCATTGAGCTTAGTCACAGGCTTTGGTGGCAAACAGACCTGTTTTTAGTTTCTCAATTCCTTATTTACCAGCTTTGCTAACTTGAAGGCAAGTTATTTCACTTTTCTAAGTCTGTTACTCTGTTTATGAAATGCTTTGAACATAGAGAAGGTCAGGTGTAAACACATTCTAAAGATACCACCAAATGTTCTATATATTTATTAAAGCATATAAAAATGCAGACATGTTGACAATGATGCATGTTCTACTATTGGAAATTTGAATTAAAAAATGACAGTACTGCTGGACACAGTGGCACATGTGACTCGGGAGGCTGAGATATGAGGATCACAAGTTCAAGGCCAGTCTGGGCAACTTAGTTTGACCTTGTCTCAAAAAAATAAAATAAAATAAAATAAAATAAAAAAGGACAGAGATGTAGTTTGGTGGTAGAACATGGGTGAGGCCCCTGGGTTCAATCGCCAGTACCACTACCCCGCCCACCCCCCCCCCCAAAAAAAAAAGAAAGACAGAATTTGATTCTAAAAATTTTCTTCTGTAATTAGTTATCTGGTATGGAATTGAAATTCTGACATGAAAGTGTCAATGGCAGGTTGTATCATATTATATTGCAATGTGCTGCAGATGTGTTATCCTTAAATCCTATAACTGAAGAACAGTTGTTCAAAATTTGGCACTTCTGAACAGTAGAAAATTTTGCATATTTAACAAAAATTATTTGCTTTTCAATATAGTCTCATGCTTTTGAATGTTTTGAACTGGCAGGTACATGGTTGGTTGCCCCAGCAGGCGGCTTTGATGGGGTAGGTCAGCATTCTTGTAACCTGTTGGTATGAAGTGGCCTCGGCCTTCTCCCATTCTCCCATCAGCAGCTCGGTGCTGCGCCACAGTACACAGCCTTCCATTCTTAGTGCTGTTCTTACACCATCCAAACTGAGAGGGTGAACTGAATAAAGTCCTCTCATTTTCATAAAATCTGAAATTTAATTAGGTTTTTTGGAATTCAGTTTTTAACTCTTATACTATTGAGAATGTAGTTGAGGCCATCACTTTTATTTCTGGAAACTGAATTCAATAGGAAAATTGGCCAGATTATTCTTTGCCAAATGTCATTTCCCAAGAAATAAATTCTGAGTAAAAATGAGTCAATCAAATTGTACATTTATGTGGCCAACTGTGTGAATACCCTACTGAAAAATATTCAAAGCATTTAAACAGGTTATAGAGTCAGCCAAAAAGGCCATGTTTTCAATCCAGCCTTTGCTAGTGAGCTGAAGTGGAAATTTCTTGCTTGGAGGACATGAACAGTGCTATTTCTTTCAACTGTTAAAAAAAAGAAAGAAAAGAAAAAGAAAACCTCTTAATCATCATGCTACACTCACATCACTTCTCCCCTCCGTGTGCTGTAACAGGCTGCCACACTGTGCACTCCGATCGTCAAGCATTGAACCGTAGTCTGTGGTCCCAGCCAAGGGAGTACATCCTATGGATGGTGTTAAAACTATGTCTATGACTTGTTCTATTTTTAACTCGGTTTTAGCACAAAAGGATTCCTGTTGAATGAGGCAAGGAAACAAACCAAGTTTAATACTTCGCAAAATGATTCTTTTGGCTTAATTATTGGTGCAAGTCATATAGACCATCCAGGAATAAAAAATATAGGCAATGCCTTAGTTTTTTTTTTTTTTTTTTGTTTGTTTGTTTGTTTTGTTGTTGTTTAATTTTTGGGATTGGTTCTCACAATGTTGTTGCCCAGGCTGTCCCTGATCTCCTGGGCCCAAGTGATGCTTGTGCCTCAGCCTTCTGAGTAGTTGGGTCTGCAGGCATATTCCACTGTGCCTGGCTACCTTAATCATTTTGACCCGTTTGCATTAAATTTTGAACAATTCCCTCAAAACCTAAAAAGTCATTTCCTAATGTTATGCCCATCAAAGGCCCAATATCTAAAAGTGCCATAGTAACATAAAAATTCTCACGATACTATGAATTGAGTGGTGATCATCTTATGTGTACCTTTTAAACCTCTCTGTAAATTCTCAACTGTATTTTCAGCATGTTGGAAAAATTTCTGTATGTGTTTAGAATTTACTTGGCAAATGCTTATTTGAGAGCAGAACCCATGACTTATATTGTGCTCCTCTATACGAAGTTTATATGCCAAGACATTATTTTTTTACTTAATAACATAACTGCATCACATTTTTTTTTTATTTCCAAAATAAATTTTTTGAATTGGGTTTAATTTCAGCTCATTAAGTTTATCATCATTTTCTTCTTATAGTCCAGTTGTACTTCCTTAATACCATAATGGCACCTGTTTTTTTGGCACATGCATGTTTTGCATTATCAATCTCATACAAATATATGTTTTTTTACTTTTACAAGAAATATGCTGTCTTCTATTTTCTCAAAAGTTGTAGTCTTTTTGTGAGCATTTTGTCAATTTAAATTTAATAATAAGCATACAGAAATATTTCTCCTCTATTCAAAAAACAAAAGTAGACTAGCATTGTTGTATTTTAAGATTTTTTTCAGGATAAGAAATGAATTTCTATAGACCTGCCAGTCTCTGATTTAGGTTGTTGTATACATTGAATAGAGAAATAAATACTAAGCACTATTATAGTGTCTGTTCAGATAGGAAACACTGACTTATATGCTAACAAGTCATTACTATTATATTCTTCTTAAATATTCCTGAGACTTTCTCATTCATTCTGAATTGATTTATTTCTTTAGCATAGTAAAAGTGAAGAAAATTTAATCTTAAATTGCATTTAGAGGGCTGTGGCTCATGGTAGTGTTTGCCTGGCACATGTGAAGCACTAGGTTCTATCCTCAGCACCATATAAAAATAAATAATAATAAAAAAGGTATTGTGTCTATCTACAAACAAATATATATATATATATATATATATATATTTAATATATATTAAATATATATAAAAAATTGCAATTAGAGAGAAGTAGATTATTTTGTTTTAAATTTTGTCTAGATAGGCATTTAGGCAGTTCTTAATTTTCCAAGAAAGCAGAGTGATTTTTTTTTTTTTTAATTTTCATGTCTGTCATCAGGGTGACTATTGCTATTAACCATTTGAAGAGCTTTAAAAGAATAACCAAAAATATTATATTTTTCTAAGATTTTTTCTTAGTTTTACAAAAAGAAATGAGTCAAAAAGTAGTCTATGTTGTTGGCATCATTAAGAATTAAAATCTTTTTATAAAATTGAACTTCATTTATTTGTAAACATTTAATGAATGCAACTATATATTAGGTTCTTTTAGAACACCTAGGTCAGCATTCAGATTTTACTTTGGAAAATGAAATGAAGTCTTCTTTATTATCTTCTGGATCCATGCACACAAACCTTTTAATTTTTATTCCTGATATCTATCTATCTACATTTTACAGTATTTTGAGGTCATTTATCTTGACAAACTTCCAAACTTTTATTGTTTGCTTAGAATTGTACTTCTCATATCTTTACTTTTAGATGAAGTCATGAAGTTAATTAAGTATTTGTTGTTTTAAGAAGTAGAGTAAGAAGGACTGGGGTTGTGGCTCTGTGATAGTGCATTTGCTTACCTTGCATAAGACCCTGGGTTATATCCTCAGCACCACAAAACAACAGCAACAGCTGGTAAATGGATGGAACTGGAGACTATAATTCTAAGTGAAATAAGCCAGACTCAGAAAGTGAAGGGACAAATATTTTCTCTGATATGTGGAAGGTAGTCTAAAATTAAGGGGGAAAAGGAAAGAGAAGATAAAGAAGATGGAGTTAGGAAATTCCATCAAAATAAAAGAAAGATCAGGGGAGAAGAAGGAGATCTGAGGGAGAGGGAGAAAAGACAGAACAAGGTACAAATAGTGGAATGAATCTGATTAACTTTCCAATGTACATATATGAATATACCACAGTGAATCTCATCATTATGTATATGCACAAGACACTAATTTTTTAAAAAAATAATACATGGATCAGTAGAGTAGAGGAAAGGGATCAGGCAAGGAGGAGGGGAGAGTAAGGCTAAGTACTAGAGACTAATTAAAGCAAATTATATTTCATGCATTTATAATTGTCAAAATGAATCCTAATGTTATAGAATCAATAAAATTGAAAAACAGTAACAGCACAGTAAGAACTGTAATGTGCTGGCATTTGAACTTATTCTTTTTCCTCCCTCCTTTTTTTTTTTTTTCTGTGATCATAGGTCATTCCTAACATACATAATAAGGGCAACAAAATCGCCAAAAACCAGAACCAAGACACTCCAGAAAAAAAGGAAAAGGTAACTTGAACCTTTCAAGCTTCTAAAAATATTTATGGTTTCTTCTTGCATTTTTGAGCTGTAACTAATAAAAATGTTTGTTTTTTGATAAGTGTCAGTGTAGACGCATTGTGTAAGTATTTGTTCCCTGTGCACATAGCTGGTTCTCACCAGGACGAAGGCCAGAAACCTGGGAAACATAGGTAGAAAAATAGTATAAAAGACCAGTCAGCCATCCATGTCTGTATCTCTCTTTCCCATTCAGCTGGACCAGTGTTTGGTCCATTCCTAGAACATGCTGCTCACACTTGGGAGTTTCTGTGACTTGGTTCTCTCAGCCTGGAAGCTTATTCTCACATTAATTTTCCTAAAGAATCCTTTTTATACTTCAAGGAACAGACCAAAGGTCATCTCTGTTATGAAACACTTGACTCTCAATCAGAGTTAATCACCCATTCCTGTTTTCCCACCTGTAGTCAAATAGAATTTGTTAACCTAAAAATTATTTTAGGATATGGTATCAGGTAGGGTAAATTTTCACTTTTTCCCATAAAGATAACTAGTTGTCCCACTGTTTAAAATAGGACCTCCATTACCCACTGATTTACATTGCAACTCTGTCAATACTTGGGTTACAAGGGGAGTCTCTTTTTGAGTTTCATCTTTGTTTCATTTGGTCACTCACTTTTCTATCCCTGCACATATGCTGTCCTACCTAAATTATAAATATAATAAATATTCAATAAAAGATGTACCGTTTAACATTTATATTAACATTAAGAATTTTCTTCATGAATGATATTGACATTGAATTTTATCAGACATATTATCTGCATTCTCTGAAATAATTATGTGTATAAGTTTTTTCTTCTTGAATCCTGTAATGTGGTAAATTCCATTTATAAATTTTAGATTGTTGAACTACCCTTGAATTCATGAATTAAATTTAATTTGATCAAGATTTTTTTTTTTTTTTACCATTGCTAGTATTAATACTTTCAAGATTTTTGCATCTATGGTCATGAATGAAATTGGCCTGGAAATTTTCATTTATATGGCTTTGGTTATGCTAAACTACTAAAAGGAATAGTTGAAATATTTTCCTCTTTCACTTTTCTGAGAATTTGTATAACATCTTAATTACCAGTTCCTTTATTGTTTGGTCAAACAAAACTATGAAGCCATTGTGGGCCTGTGTCTTCTATATGAGAAAAATTTAAAGTAGTAATTCAGTTATTGAATAGTTATTGAACCATTCCAGATTTTCTATTTTTTTCACAGTCAGCTTTGGTCATTAACTTTTTCCTAGGAATTTTTATATCCCCCACATTTTGAAATATTTTTTGGCATAAAGTTATTCATATATTATCATAAGTTTCATCATCTTTGCTCCAGCTATAATTCTTTTTTGCTCTGAATATAATGATTTGCCTTATCTTTTTTTCAGTCTCAGATGTAATATTTCATGTAGTTTTTCTTTTTTAAGAAGTACTTTTGAACTGTGTTGATCTTCTCTGTTTTGTCAATTTTCCGCTTAATCACTTTTGCTCTCATTTTTATATTGCCCTTTTTGTTTGGGCTCCATCCATTTACTCAACCCCCACCAAATTGCAGAGTTTGATTAATTTTTACCCTTTCTCTTTTCTAAAATACTAATTTAAGACCATAAATTTTTTCTAAGTCCCACATTTTCTACATTTTGAGATTTTAAGAATTTCTGTTGTTCAGTACTGTTTTTTGTAATAGTATTTACTTTTTTAATAGTTTATTTATTTATATGTGGTCTGAGAATCAAACCCAGTGCCTTACACATGCTAGGCAAGCACTCTGCCACTGAGCTACAACCCCAGCCCCAGTACTAAATCTTTTTTAGGCTTCCAGCATGATTTCTCTTTACTTAGGTTTATTTACAAATGTATTTTACCTGTCTATGTGAATATTTTAAAGGACTTTTTATTTCTAACATTTCAGTTATAATCAGAGATTGTTGTTTATGAAATATTAGTCCTTTGACATTGGTTGAGACCTTTTTGTGGCCCAGTACGTAGTTGGTTATTGTAAATGTCCTTCTGTTTTTGATTAAAGAAGAATGGCTATGTTATTTAGATTCAGATTTTTATCAAAAGTTGTTGGGTCAAACTGAGTTATTCAGATATATACTTAACTGGTTTTTGTTGTTGGTAGCATAACTTAATGCTCATTCATCTTGATGTTAAAATTAGTCTATTTTTATGTAGCTTTTAAAAATTTTATTTACACATTTTCAAATAAGTTTATTAGGTCCCTATAAGTTTAAAATTGTTATACATTCCTAGGGAATAGATGTGTATATTAATATGTAGATATGGTATATAGTGATGTCCCAGCAGCTATTTCATCTAATATTAGTAAAAGCATGATGGCTTTCTTTTTTGTGTCTACCTGATATTTTGGCTTGGAATTTTTTGAGCTGCACACATAAAATGAATTCAAGTCTCCCAACCTCGGTGTATCTGGACTTGAATGAAACTGATAAGGAACATCTTTCTTCTCCTTTTCTCTTCCACCTTAAGCAAGGCCAAAGCCAGTAAATATCCCTACAGTCTTGTGTGATCAGATGTTTTGGTTTGTTAGATCTGTTTTTATCTTTATCCATGGTAGATTTTTTTAAAGCCATAATTAAATTGTACACATAGGAGAACTTTATAGATGTGTACATGGGTACAATGAAGATGCTAACTTTGATGAGGACTTGGGGAAAGGGTTCTTGAAAAGAATGACAGCTGACTCTTGTCTTGAGTTTAGATTGTAATCACAAAGATTATATTCGGGTTGGCAGTAGCACATATTGCGTGATCTAGATTCTGTGGTTTTCCACAAATAATATGTAGATTCTAGAAGACTGTTGTTATTGTTTGTGGAAGTGTTCAGTACAGATTGCAGGTAATCATTGGCAGAATATTTCCTCAACCTTTTAGAAGTTACAGGCTTTATTTTCAGTGATAGGGTTGGGGAAGATGATATTTTTATTTATTTATTTATTTATTTTTAAATTTTTAATTTTATAATTTTTTTTAATTGGTTGTTCAAAACATTACAAAGTTCTTGACATATCATATTTCATACATTTGTTTTTTTTATTGGTTGTTCAAAACATTATAAAGCTCTTGACATATCATATTTCATACATTAGATTCAAGTTGGTTATGAACTCCCAATTTTACCCCAAATACAGATTGCAGAATCACATCGGTTACACATCCACATTTTTACATAATGCCCTATTAGTAATTGTTGTATTCTGCTACCTTTCCTATCCTGTACTATCTCCCCTCCCCTCCCCTCCCATCTTCTCTCTCTACCCCATCTACTGTAATTCATTTCTCTCCTTGTTTATTTTCCCATTCCCCTCACAACCTCTTATATGTAATGTTGTATAACCATGCGGGTCTCCCTCCATTACCATGCAATTTCCCTTTTCTCTCCCTTTCCCGCCCACCTCATGTATCTGTTTAATGTTAATCTTTTCTTCCTGCGGAAGATGATATTTTTAGTCCAACTTCCCATCTTTCTTGACCTCAAAGGGACATTTGGAACTCAATAAATTCTTAGCTCTCATTAGATAAAAATGAGTAGATATATATAATTGTGTTTCTCTGATGGTCTAGAAAATATAATCTATAATAACAAAACAGATCAGTGGTTCCTAGGAATGGGGTGCCAGATGAAGGTCTGGAAAGGACTTAAAAAGAGACATAAGTAAACTTTTGGGGGTGACATTTATGTTCATTATTTTGATTGTACTGAGGTTTAAAATTGTGCACTTTAAAATGTGTACAGTTTTTTATATGTCAGTCATGCCTCGGTATAGTGCAGTGAAGCTGTTGAAGATAAACAAAAATCATCCGCCCTCCTAGAGCTTACGTTCCAGCAAGGCAAGACAAACAAGATAGAATTCAGTGACTGCTACTTGACAGGCCCATGTATGAGAGGGTTTGGGTTTGGAATGTGAGCTGTATGAGGGCAAGGACATCATGGTCTCATTCAATTGCCTGGCATCTAATAGGCATGAAGTACAAGTTTACTGAATGAATACAGAATCCTAAATACAGAAATCTCTGGTCTTAGGTCACCAGGGATAGATGCATATCCTCCAGGCAGGTGTCACCTTCCTGTACTGCACTAAACCTCCTCATTTAAGATTTATGGTTGTTTTTAGCCTGGAAAAGTTACAAAATCACTTTTTAGAAATTTTATCCATTATTGTGTGGTAAGAAGAGTTTCTCAGAATATTTAGTCTACCGTATTCCTGGAATCTTAGTGATTAATAATGTTGACTTGAAGGTCTGACTATTCATCAAATATTTGTTGGAAACCTCAGCCAGTTACTGTGTAGCAGTCCAGAGATATACCTAAAATGAAACTGACATGGTGTCTGTGGGCACCACAGAGTTAAGTAAAGAGGCTACTAATTTAATTACTTCTGGCAGGTAATTTAGTTAATTCAGGAAGCTCCCACATAAGATCCCAGGAAGAAAAAGGTTAAATGTTTGATATCAACTTTGGCCAGCTCCATTAAGCCAAATACATAGCAAGGCTGTCTGTGTTTAGTGAGAATCTAGTAGGAGTCCAAAACTACTAGCAGTCAGTCTTCAGCTAAGTTCCTCATTACAAAGAAAAACAACTGACCACTAAGCTGAGGCTGTATGAAATCGTATCCCAATCTACATCTCCATTACAGAATGGCGTTTAGCGACTGCAGAATGCTCTTTGCTATTTTCCTTTTCTCTGAAATCACATCTCATGTGTCAAGCCACTTATTGCATTCTGGAATGATGAAGCACCTGCATTCCAAGAGGCACACGGATGAGGGCAAAGTGCAGAAAAAATGAACAGAAATAAAATTAGTAATTAATAGAAGTATTCCCAGGGCACCGTGGGAGCACACCCTTTCCAAAGTCAGTATGCTCAAGTAGTGACTGATCCATCTCTTCAAAAGTTATCACCATCAGAAGAAATTCTTTTATGCATTATTCTCTCCTTAAGATGAAAGCAATATATGTTCTCTAGAATTATGGACAAACAAAAGAAGGCAATAAAAAAAATCACCCAGAACTCATTCCTAATAGCTGTAGGTTAGAAATAGAAATTTTAGCTTGAGGTCATTTCCATTAATTTTTTTTTTTTAAATAAGAGAGTTACTAAAAAACTAAAAAAGAATCAATTAGCAGGTCTCAAATTCCTTGTCTTTCATTTATGCCTCATTTCAGTATTTTCTGACCTGTTTTGCATTATGTAGAGCCTGAAAGAAGAGGCAATCAAGATTATAGATCTTGGCTATATTCCCAGCTACTCCAGAGGCTGAGGCACAAATTTGAAGCCAGCCTCAGCAACTTAGTGAGACCCTGTCACAAAGTAAATAAAAAGGACTGGGGATGTGACTCAGTGGTAAAGCACCCTTAGGTTCAATCTTGCTACCAAAAAAAAAGTAAAATTACTAAAGGTTTATAACAACTCTTTTATATTTTCTTCCCAATTTTTTTAAAGTTTTATTTTGTGTATTCTGTGAATGGATTTCACAGCTGGGAGATTTGTTAATGGAGAAGCAATCCTTGACAATTAGTCAACTTCATTTTTTTCCCCCCAAATATCATCAAATGAAAATGTTGTCTCTGGCAGAGACCCTAAAAATGAAGATTTTTAAACTTATAAAAATGTTAGACTTATAAAAGAGATACATTGTAAATTGCTGCTCAATTTATAATTGGGTCATGTCCCAATAAGCCCATAATAAATTGAAAATATTGGAAGTTGAAAGTGCATTTAACACACCTAAGCAAACATGATAGCTCAGCCACACTACGTACTGTATAGTTGCTGCTTCTTGTGGTCCCATGGTTGAGAGCTGTGCTCACTGCTGCTTCTGCTGCCTGGCTTCTGAAGAGAGTGCTGTACCATGTCACTTACCCCATGAAAACATCAAAATTCAAAGTACTGTTTCTCCTGTTGGTGTATTGCCTTTGTACCACTGTAAAGTCAAACCATCATATTTTGGGGACCAGCTGTACTGAAAATGAGAACATTTTCTTTTATGTATTATAACTCAGTAAGATTGATGTTAGAACATTCATCTAGTCCCAGTAAAGATCTAGATTTCAGGTCTAAGGGGGACCTTGTGAACAAAATTATTTCTTGTGAACCTCCTGATGGTACCTAGAATATTAATATATATATATATATTTATATATAATATATATATATAATATATATGCTCTGATTATTCTTAACAACAACAAATAATACAGTGTTCAGTCAGTGATATTTCACATTGTGCTAGGCCTTCAAATTGGCTGGTTGTATTAGCTTTGTGTCACTGTGATCAAAATACCCGACAAGGATATCTAAGAGAGGGAAAAGTTTCTTTGGGTTCACAGTTTCAAATGTTCAGTACATGGTTGTCTGACTCCATCACTCAGAATCCAAGATGAGGTAGAACATAATGTTGAAAGGACACAGAGGAAGAAAGCTGCTTAGCTCATGGCAGCCAAGAAGCAGAAGATTGAGGGGCCAGGGACAAAACATAAACCCCCAAGGCACGCTCCCAATGACCCGTTTTCTTCCAGCCATGCCCCACCTGCCAACAGTTACCCCCTAGCTCAGTACTCCTTTCAAATTAGTAATCCATCAATAGATTAATCCACTAATTAGTTGACAGTTCACACTCTAATCATTTCACCTCTGAACACTGCTTCATTGCCTAACATGAGCTTTTGGTGGTGGTGGTAGGGAGTCATCTCATATCCAATTCATAACACTGAAAATATTCAGGTTGATATGTAAATATTTGTGAATTCAGATATATATTCAAACATATACATGTGAGTACGGACCTAGCACATGGTCATGCGGGTGTCATGTAGCATTGTTTTTATAGTCCTGTATATAAGATTGTTTTATAATCTGCACTGAGATCAAGGAGATCAGGAAGAAGTATAGCTGTTTCTAAATTCTCAAATCACTTTGACCATGTGAATCTGGATTCTTACATAAAAATGCTTGTTGGTTTCTGTGAAGATAGGATTTTTTTAAGGCTGGCACATCTAAAGTCATAGTTTATTATTTTCTAGAAACTCTGGGAATATGAGATTCCATAATGTTTATTGCTCTCTATAAGCCAATCAGATTTTGTTTTGTTTTAAGAGATGTACATGTACTCTATTAATATACTGAAGATAGGAAAATATTATATATTGAACATGAGAAGCAAGGACATTTCTTACCTACAGGCACTCAGACAGCTTTCAATGTCTGTCCTACAATGCAGACCCAGAAATGCAAAAACACAGCTGGGCGTGGTGGCGCATGCCTGCAATCTCAGAAACTTGGGAGGCAGAGGCAGGAGAACTGCAGGTTTAAGGTCAGACCCAGCATCTTAGAGATGCCCTATACAACATTGTGAGTCCCTGTCTCAAAAAATAAGAAGGGCTAAGGATATTGCTCAGTGGTTACGCTCCCCTGGGTTTAATCCCCAGCATCCTCCCCAATAAAAAAAATGCAAAAACCCACCTTCTATCTGTCAAAGCACTGTTGTTTCCAGTAGACACAAGACATTTTTTTTTAGTTCAAAACCACAAACAGGCAAAGAAAAGAGAATAACAAGCATGTTCTCTGTTACTTCTTAGCTCATGGAGAGTAGATTCTTACAGAAACAATCTCCTCCTTCCAACAAATACCACTAAGTGGGCAGACCATAAAACCAAATCCATTTATTGCTGCTACTAATGGGAAATAAGTTATAGCCCAAATACAAAGAACCAGCTTTTATCTACTATCAGAAATTAAAACATAGAATTGAAAATTTTTTTAGTAAAAAAGAAAAAATTCTTTTATTACTTTGAATTTACTATGGGAGCCTAGAAATCATGTAAGTGGATTTAAACAGCTCATGAATTGCATATATGAGGCATCATAGTTTAAATTGGTTCTGGAAGGTGAGTCTATTTGAACATCTCAGTGGGACTTCCAAAATTGTCAAAGTATAATTTAACAACAAAAAAAAAAAAGTGCAGGTATCAGGTATTTATTTAACTCAATCAATGAGGGAAAGAGATCGTAAGCCTGGTGCAGAGAAAATTGAAGAGTGAAATACTTACAACTACTGAAAGAACAAATGTTTCAGACTCCCATTTAGGTATAAAGTTGGTTAATGTTGTATATGGCGAGAAAACTGCAATCTTCGGAGTTATCTTTTCTATAGGACTAAAATCATTTGTATCTCTATCAGATAAAATTAATATGCAGTACTAAGAATCATTTGCATTTCTAAAAGTTTATCGGGGAGCCTGGGCAGCATCAATGACAAGCAGTTATTTAGTCATTCAGAAATTACTTAAGGGAGGCCTACTCTGTGCCTCGGAAGATGCCACTGAGTCTGTCTTGTTCTCTACCCTCGTGGGGATGGTCATCACCTGGCCAAGCTGGGTAGACCTTGCTCTAGCCTTCATTACTGCAGGGAGAGCTGGGTGCTGTCCACATCCTTCTCCCATATGCTGTAGAAGGATGCCCCAGGTATTTGGCAACCCACATATAGACTGTAGGCAGATCTGGATATGCTTATTCTATATTCTTTTCAAGAGTGTTGGTAGAAGCCAATCAAATAATGTATAATTTTTCCTTAAATATATTTTAAATCTATTAATAAAAATTCATACTCCTTAACATTATTTTCAAATCCAGCTATCCTTGTTCTAGATGTTGTCTTTGACGAAGAATAACCTTATTCTGAGAAAAAGGTTTCTTGAAAAGAATTCATTTGCCCTTACTCTCCATTTCACTCACATGCATTTTTGCACTCAAAAAAATTAAAGACACAACGATCACCCTTCTGGATTCTCTTGTTGTTTAATAAGCATTTTGTACTTGGCATCTTTTCTTCCTCTATTGCTCTTGTATTTTATTCATTTCTGAATTTTCTACAAATGTGGATAATGGCTGCTTTGGTTAGACATTGTTTTAAATAAAAATGGGTTTGTGTTTTCTTTCATGAGTCTCAAATAGTGTTTTCTATTTTAGAGGAATTTATCGTATGCCTGCTCTCTGTAATCGAGCAGGCATTGTCCACTTACTGAAGTATATCCTGCCATTAGTGCTTTTGTCCTATAAAGGATAATTGAATGTACTTTATTGAGGTCCTGTAGCAAAGCAAATTTTAATCCAGTTATTTTGGTATTGGTGGAGGACTCGGGTATGTCGGCTCCTATTCTTCTGAACAGCTTGGATCTCTATAAAGTTTGGCATGTTTTATTTTTCTCCACGTTTAAGAAAATGTCTCCGTCCTGTGAAGGTAATCTGATCATAGAGTTTTATTCTACTTCAATTATCTATATAAGTCAAATGGTGATGTGCTCTATCATTGGAATATAAACTGAAAGCATACGTATACAGAAATACTTATGCATCACAGAGATTTCTTTTTTAAAATATTAAAATGTGTCTTGGCCATCTACATACAGATGAATACCTTTTAATTTGGGAAACCTTGATGTTTCATTATTTTTTTAAAGAATGAAATCTGTAGATTCTATAATGAAAAAAAAATCAAATAATTATAGAATTAACACATTGGACAGTTTTTATTTTAGGTTTATTTTAGAAATGTTTTTCATTTGAATTATTTTGTTTATAACAAAGAAGATTCAGCTCCCCACAATGTAAAGAAAATGTACATACTTGCCTTTTCACTGGGAAAGAATGCTTTCTTTTAGGTGGGTCAACAGCCTTCATAGGTGTGCTTTTGAATTTCTGTTCTGCCTTCCTATGTTTACATCCCAAGAGGCACCTTTATAAAATAACATAAGCATAAGAGAATAAATTATTTGTTTTTGAATCCTTGAATTATAACTGAAGTTGGCTACAGTCAAATATTTCCAGACTCTCTTTTTATGGTTTTTGTCAGCAAAGAAAAGGATTGTACAAAAGCAATTAACCCTTCTCTCAAATTTTGCATTTTCAGAGGCAAGGAACAGCTCCACCTCCTATGAAACTGCCTCCTCCTTACAAAGCACTGTCTGTAGACAGTGATGAAAATGAAGAAGAAAATGCATTTACTGACAGTGAGTTCCTTTTTGTTTAATAAATGCAGGATTTATTAAATTATGCTTTAATGACTTCTGTACATTTTTCAGTAAAGGGCAGGGGGAAGCTTCAAAAATGTGCATGAATATATGCCAAAAAAGAAAATTTATATTTGAAAGTTTTGTGGCTAATTTCCTAGGCTTTTCTCTTTGACATTGACAGAGAGAATATTGAAGGAAGCATTGTTATACACTATTTTACCTGTGTTCCCTTCCAGTTTTGCTATTTGGTTGTGAATACAAAACTGTTAAAAAGTCCTTTTAACTCAAGTTTGATCAGTAATCTGAGTTGGGCATTGATGCCAGCTCTTGATTATTTACCTTACTCAAAGTAATGTTGATATTGCTAACACAAAATTATTGGTGGCCCACCAAGTCTTATTTAATCCTTTATAACTCATAATTTTTTATACTAATTGCATCAAATATACATTCATACATTATTTAACTGAGACTTTATTTGAAAGAATTTGCATTTCTTTTATGAATGTATAGTATCTGGAGTTAGACCTGATTGCTAATGTATACAGAACTTCTTTGGGAAGTGAAGAAAATGTTTTAAAATTAGACAGTGATGATAGTTGTACAATTTGTGGATATATTAAAAACCACTGACTTGATTGTTTTAAATGGGTGAATTTTATGGTTTGTGAAACACCATAAAATACATGAAAACATTTTTCTAAAATATATGAAAGATTTTTATATAGAAATTAAAAATTAAAAATTCTGGCTGCAGCAGTTAAGATTGCCCTGTTTTATAAAAAGGATATAATAATGGTTCCTAGTTCATAGGGTTGTGAGGAGGATTGAAATAAAGCAATACAGTCTTTAGCTTGCCACTTAATATTCAAAGAATACTATATTACATCTTTTATTGTTGTTAGTAATAATTATTAAGTTAACTTTATATTTTTCCAAATATAATAGTAAATATATAAATAAATAGAAATAAAATATGAAAAATAATGAAACTGCTAGGCTCAGTGTTACGCGCCTGTAATTCCAGTAGCTTGGAGGCTAAGGCAGGAATCTGGCAAGTTCAAAGCCAGCCTCAGCAGTTTAACAAGGCTCTCAGCAACTTAGCAAAACCCTTCTCAAAATAAAAAATAAAAAGGGCTGGGGATGTGGCTCAGTGACTATGTATCCCTAGGTTCAATCCCTGACACAAAAGTAAATAAATAAATAAATAGATAAATAGATAAATCTATAACTGAGTTAACTTTATAAAAATTTGATCTTTCAGTTTTATAGAACCCGTTTTCATGCATTATTTTCTTCATTTATTCACATCTTAATTGAATACCATTTGTCTTTTAGTGACAGTATTAAGTGAGTCTGCTGTTAAATGGGTAAAACACAGCTAGCTCCCTTTATGTAGTAGAAGCACCAGCCATAAAGGGAGGGCACAAAGGCATGAGGATAAAGTTAGATGTGGACTCTGGTGATGTGATTCTCAACCTGTTTGAAGAGTATATCTGAGCTTGTCCTGACGTTCTCCCTTGTTCTGATAGAGAGGAGAGGTCAGCTGCACAGAGCGGCAATAGATTGTTGACTCTCCATAATTCCTGACTGCTAGAAGTCAGTAACACCTAATTACTGGGAAACCTGACATAAGTGTGCAACTAAGACTGTTCTGATATTGGTTCTACCACTCAGTAGCTGTGTGTTCTTGGACAAGTCATTTAACTTCTTCAAGGCACACACTGGTTATCAATGAGGGAATAAGGGTCTGTCATAGAATAACCTGTCTCATAGGATTGTTGCGAACAGTGAGAAAGCTCAACATAAGAACTGGGTTACCTGGTAAGTGCTCTGGGTAACCAGGTGTGGCCTTTACATATATTATTAACACAGCTGACATTTTGTGAGGACTCTAATTAAACATATAAGAAAACAAATTCAGAAAAACTAAGAAATGGGTCACATACAGCTAACAAATAATGAGAATTGGGGTTCAAACCCAGGCACTGTGACTCCAGAGCCAATATTATCGTCTACATTTGCTGTTGCTTAAAACACATTACTATAGCAGAGATAGGTACAAAGTGATGTGGGGTTCTTCTGTGAATGGCACTCTTGGGCCGGGAGAAAAGTTGAGCATCCTCTCCCCCTCCTTACTATGGCACGCTCAGGTATGTGTCACATGCACAGGCACAAATGCATGGCATCCTGAGGCTCAGAAAAGATAGTTCTACACTAAATGCATAAAAAGACTCCTGATGCCTTCTGACTTTAAACTTGTGACATCTCACATATTCTCCAACAAACCTATTTGGGTTGTATAGGTGACTCTTCTCTTCATTTATTTTGGTCTCTGATGTTTTCCTTCTCAATGTACATTCCCTTCCTGTTTAAATCCATTTGATTTCACTGTTAACCTCTAAAAAAGTTTGAACTGTATTGAGTATTTCTTGGATGGTTCATATTTATAATACAGGCAAGCCTAATGTCTCTGGCCACTGTATATTTCCTTTGGGATGATCTCGTGGGTTTTTCTTAGTTTCTTAACTCTTGCTACATTAATACTCTGCTCTTATATCCAAAACTGAAAGTAGATCAGGTCACTGTTTTATCAGATTTTTACTGTCCAGTCTAAACATTTCTTTTTATAGTGGTGAAATATGATTATCTAACTTTCCTGAGGTCCTTAACTCTGAAATGAACATGTTGACTTCAAGGGTTGGGCCCATGAGCCTAACCTTTCTTAGCAAGATCACCAACATGAAGCACACCTCACTTTAAAGGTATTAAAAGGTCATTAATTAAAAAATTCATCCAGTCAAGAAGTGTTTGTCAAGTGGATGTCACAAGGGGGCAAACACTGTTCTAGGGGTTTGGAATGTGGCAGGGAACATGGTCATTCTTTCATTAGCTGATATTCCAGTAGGGGAGGAAGATTATAAATAAGATAGTTTAAATAGTGATAAACATTATGAATAAAATAACTAGATTTAAATAAATAAAATTTAAAATAAAATACAAAAAAGTAAATGCCTCGAATGAGGCAATGTTAAGTAGAATGGTTAAGAAAGGCCAAGATAAGATCTAACTGACAAAGGTCTGGCTCTTACAGTCATCATATAGATCAAGTTTTGTTTTTTTTTTTTCCTTTTGGACTCTGACTCATGGTAACTTAAAATTTTACGTGTGAAAAAAACAACTGTGTGAGTTAGATTTCCATCACGTGACAGAATATTTGAGAACATCTGCTTAAAGGAAAATATTTTATTTTGGCTTCAGTTTCAGTCCTCAGTTACTTGTTTGGGGCCTTTGATGACCCAGTACTTCATGGCCAAGGAGATGCTCACCTCTTGGGGGCAGAGAGAGAAGGAGAAGGGGCAGGTCGTCATCCCAATATCCCTTCAGTGGCATGGCCTTCATGACTTTAACTTCCTTCCACTAGGCCCTGGCTCCTAACGGTTCTACCGGTTCCAATAGGACCTTTGGAGGACACAAAACCCCAATTATAACAACTAATGCAGATGCATATATGCAGGAATATGTGTATACATTGAAACAAAAGTTTCATAAACTATTGCTTTTTTTATAATATGATGAATTATTCATTTTTTAAAATGCTGGTAGCAATTCAGTTTATTTCATAACTAACAGATAATTGCAAACTATATTATGAAAAACACTAATCTAGATCATTGGTTTTGAGTCTTCTGAGTGCATCGGAAACACCTATAAAGCTTGTTAAAATAGTAATCGATAAGGCCTACCCCCAATTTCTGATTCCTTAGATCTGTGAGGACCCAATAATTTGCATTCCTAATTTGTTTCCGGTTGGTGCCATTGCTTCTGCTACCCAAGAATCACACTCTGAAAACAATCAGGATGCTAAAGTCATGCTGATGAGTTTATTGAGGATTACTGTGTAGACAGCAAGGATACCTGAACCCAGCACCTACCCTGCAAGTCAGTAGAGGAGCATTCTAGCATAAGAACACTTCTAGATTATGAGATTACATAGTTTGTGAGAAGGAAGTGTTTCAGGAAAGCTTCCATCACTTAATCTTGAGGATCAACCGTGGAGTGTTACTGAGAAATTTAGAAGACTGGAGACATAAATGTAATCATTGGATTTAGCACTAAGGAATTTATAAGGAAGGAGGGAAAGGTAATACTTGATAAAGTAACCCTAGTAATTACCTTTTAAATTGTTGTGGAAATTAAATGTTCCAGCCACCATACAAAGTGTGGTATGCAGTAGGTGTTTATATTTTAGATCTTTTATTTTGTCTTGTTTAACATGTTTCATGACACAATAATTTCTATATCATAAGAAGTCTTACAATTGTTAGTTGAGCCAAAATTTCATGAATTTGAACTAAGAATTGTGGAACAATTGGGCTGAGTATATAGCTCAGTGGTAGAGCACTGCACCTAGCAGGCACAATGTCTTATGTTCAGTTCCCAGCACTGAATTTGGGGGAGAACAATTATGAAACAATTAAGAATTAAGCATGTACCATGTCAATGCTTAGCAATTGACAAAATTACCATTATCAAAGGTTGCAGGATTTGCCAAAGGTATGTATTGATGTTGCAGAATCTTTTTGCTAACTTCATGGGAATAGCCTTAAATCCAAAGTTAAAAATGATTGTCTTGGCAAGGATTCAGGATCACCAAGGACATGAAGAGATCCTTCACCCTATCTGGTCTCCTACCCAGATTTTCAGTTGGCTCTTGGAAACATTTAAAGTGTTTTTTCCACTAGCCCTTTACATCCTTTCAACAGGATAAGAAATTGTTTTCCCCAAGGCTGGCCTTTTACTTTCTATTCTCAGTTTTAGGTAAAGTCATTACTGAGGTTCTCATCTCGCACCCCAGAATGAATCTTAATAAACTCCATCACTATTTATTCCCTGTCTCTCTCACATTTCTACTTTCCTTTACATGTCTATTGCCAAAATTTTAGTAACTATATGATAACAGTCAAAATTTTCTGAGTATGTACCATATGCCATAC